AAACATGCAAAGACCGTGCGTGATTCTCAGTGCTGTCACCAGGGACAGCACAACCGACTGCCGACAGAACCCGGCAGCGAAACCGAAGCCGAAACCGAAGCCAACAGGCCGCAGGCAGCCTCACAAGCACGGAGAGCGACGCAGCAACGGTGCAACAAACGACCGAACCAAAGACGCCGAACGCAAAGGACTGAAAACCCCCTCCCTCCTCCTCCGCTTTCTTCATTAGTCATACTGTTGTCATTACTATGACTATGGATGTACCTCTTCGTCTTCGTATTAGTACGAATATTAATATGATTCGTATGCTTAGTATTATTCGTCTTCTTATTCTTCCTCGTCTGCGTCTTCTTCTTATCATTATTTGTCTTCTTCCTCGTCTTCCTCGTCCTCCTCCTCCTCCTCCTCCTCCTCCTCCTCCTCCTCCCCCTCCTCCCTCCATCTCCTCCCCCACCTCCTCCTCCTCCTCCTCCTCCTCCTCCCCCTCCTCCTCCCCTCCTCCTCCTCCTCCCCCTCCTCCTCCTCCTCCACCTCCTCCTCCTCCTTTTTCTCCTCCTCCTCCCTCCTCCTCCTCCTCCTTCCTCCTCCTCCTCTCCTCCTCCCTCCTCCTCCTCCTCCTCCTCCTCCTCCTCCTCCTCCTCCTCCGCCTCCTCTCGCTCCTCCTCCTCCTCCTTCTCCTCCTCCTCCTCCTCCTCCTCCACAATTACCCAATATGAATACTACTCTCCCTCTTCCCCTGATGACGGTTCGAAAGTATTAGCCCCTTCCCGCGTACTGTTTGCTTACACACAGGATTCCCCGGAGTTGGGTTTTCGCCTGCATTTGTTTCCAAAAATGCTGCTCTCGCTGAGGCGCCGGCCTCATGTTCGGGCCCCGCTCGTTCCGAATCGTGCTCCCGCTGCAGCGCTGGCCTCATTTCCGTGCTTCCGCTCGTTCCGAATCGTGCTCCCGCTGCAGCGCTGGCCTCATTTCCGCGCTTCCGCTCGTTCCGACTCGTGCTCCCGCTGCAGCGCTGGCGTCATTTCCCGTGCCATGCCACGGCATGCAATGCAATGCTAGGTTGACACTACGCTTTGCGGTGCTCGTCTACGCCATGCCATGCCGTGCTCTACAATGCATCGCGTACCCTTTCGGAATCATTGCCCTGCTCGACATCCGCCTGTGCGAGTAGAGAGGGGATCTACGCCATGGTAAGGGATGGGAGGGAAAGGTAGAATGTCAGATATGACGCGAGCGCACCTAGCTTGTCCTCCTCCTCCTCCTCCTCCCTCCTCCTCCTCCTCCTTCCTCTCTCCTCCTCCTCCTCCTTCCTCCTCCTCCTCCTCCTCCTCCCCCCCTCCTCCTCTCCTCCTCCTTCCTGCTCCTCCTCCTCCTGCTCCCTCCTCCGCCTCCTACCTCCTTCCTCCTCCTCCTCCTCCTCTCCTCCTCTCCTCCTCCTCTCCTCCCCTCCTCCTCCTCCTCCTCCCCTCGCCCCATCTGCCCTCTTCCCTCCCCCTCCGCCCTCCTTCCTCCTCCCTCCTCCCTCCTCCCTCCTCCTCTCCTCCCCTCCTCCTTCCTTCCTCCCTCCCTCCCTCCCTACCTACCCTCCCTCCCTCCTCCCTCCCCCTCCACCCTCCCCCCTCCCTCCCTCCCGCTCCCTCCCTCCCTCCCTCCCTCCCTCCTCCTCCCGCCCCGCCCTCCCCCTCCCTCCCTCCCTCCCTCCCTCCCCTCCCTCCCTCCCTCCTCCCTCCCTTCCCTCCCTCCCTCCTCCCTCCCGTCCCTTCCCTCCCTCCCTCCCTCCCTCTCCTCCCTCCCTCCTTCCCCCCTCCCTCCCTCCCTCCCTCCCTCCCTCCCTCCCCCCTCCCTCCTCCCTTCCCTCCCTCCCTTCCCTCCCTCCCCTCCCTCCCTCCCTCCCTCCCCTCCCTCCCTCCCTCCCTCCCTCCCTCCATCCCTCCCTCCCCCCCCTCCTCCTCCTCCTCCTCCTCCTCCTCTCCTCCTCCGCCTCCTCCTCCTCCTCTCCTCCTCCTCCTCCTCTCCTCCTCTCTCCTCCTCCTCCTCCTCCTCCTCCTCCTCCTCCTCCTCCTCCATCGTCCTCCTATTCATCCTCATCCTCCTCCTTCTCCTCCTCTTCCTCCTCCTCCTCTTCCTCCTCCTCCGCCTCCTCCTACCTCCTCCTCCTCTCTCCTCCGCAGAGACTACTAATACTATATGTCCTCCTTGGAAGCGCGCGTCCAGCCCGAACATATGGTCTTGTAGCATATGATTTCCCGAGCGGCGTGGCCAGAAAGCGCCCGCCACGACGCATATACTATAAGATTTCTCGGTGCGCGCGTCGCCCCTTGGCTGGGGCGACGCCAATATAATACAAGTGTGTTGGGGTGACGCCGATAGTAGGGAGCACGACACAAGCAAAATCTGCGGGATCTCCTCCGGATCCTGGGGGGAAACGGGTCCCGCACCCCAGGGCAAGAACCACCAGTTCCAGATTCCGCGACACCAGAACGCGCGAAAGATCGCGCATCGCATCGGCACGGAGCCGAAATCGAATCGAACCGGCAGCGCAAGGACGCACAATCACGCAATGAGAACATGGCGCCGCATCGGATCGCCAGAGCATCGGAACCGAACCGCATCGAGCTGGCCGTAGCCGATATCGAATTTGACCGATCGGGTCGGAATCGACCATGCAGGATCCCTTCCCAGGAACAACTCTCGCTCCGAGTCGTCTCCTAGCGGCCTCTGGGCAACATCACCCGGGCCTTCGCTCCGAAAAATACGCCCCCCTTTTTCAGGGTGCCCACGAGGTGTCCTGGGAGGCTGGTCCCCGGAAGCGGCACGGCCGTCTTTTTCGCCGTTTCCCAAGAAGCGTCCCTTGAAAACGGAAAACGGGAGAAACGGAATAGCCTGACGAAGGACCCAACCATACGCAGCTGCGAGTACCGCATTGTGGGTAACGGTTTCGGTGGAGCTCCGTATGGTGCCACGGAACGCTGTCCTGTGGCGTTGACGCATGCGGCCTGTGCCACTGGAGCCTTCAGTGGAGCTCCCTGCGGGGCCACGAAACGCTGTCCTGGGTGACGTTGACGCATGCGGCCTGTGCCATTGGAGCCTTCGGTGGAGCTCCCTGTGGGGCCACGGAACGCTGTCCTGGGTGGCGGTGGCGCGTGCGGCCTGTGCCACTGGAGCCTTCGGTGGAGCTCCTTATGGGGCCACGAAACGTTGTCCTGTGTAGCGTTGACGCATGCGACCTGTGCCACTGGAGCCTTCGATGGAACTCCCTATGGTACCATGGAACGCTGTCCTGGGTGGCGGTGACGCATGCGGCCTGTGCCACTGGAGCCTTCGGTGGAGCTCCCTATGGGGCCACGGAACGCTGTCCTGGGTGGCGATGAGCTCCCTATGGGCCACGGAACGCTGTCCTGGGTGGCAGTGGCGCGTGCGGCCTGTGCCGCTGGAGCCTTCGGTGGAACTCCCTATGGTGCCACGAAGCGTTGTCTTGTGTAGTGTTGACGCATCCTGTGCCACTGGAGCCTTCGATGGAACTCCCTATGGTGCCATGGAACGCTGTCCTGGGTGGCGGTGACGCATGCGGCCTGCGCCACTGGAGCCTTCGGTGGAGCTCCCTATGGGGCCACGGAACGCTGTCCTGGGTGGCGATGAGCTCCCTATGGGGCCACGGAACGCTGTCCTGTGCGGCGGTGGCGCATGCGGCCTGTGCCTCTGGAGCCTTCGGTGGAGCTCCCTATGGGGCCAAGAAGCGCTGTCCTGTGTAGCGTTGACGCATGCGGCCTGTGCCACTGGAGCCTTCGATGGAACTCCCTATGGTGCCATGGAACGCTGTCCTGGGTGGCGGTGGCGCATGCGGCCTGTGCCACTGGAGCCTTCGGTGGAGCTCCCTATGGAGCCACGAAGCGCTGTCCTGTGCGGCGTTGACGCATGCTGCCTGCGCCTGGAGCCTTCGGTGGAGCTCCCTGTGGGGCCACGACACGCTGTCCTGTGCGGCGTGGACGCATGCGGCCTGTGCCACTGGAGCCTTCGGTGGAGCTCCTTATGGGGCCACGGAACGCTGTCCTGGGTGGCGGCGGCGCATGCGGCCTGTACCGCTGGAGCCTTCGGTGGAGCTCCCTATGGGGCCACGAAACGCTGTCCTGTGCGGCGTTGACGCATGCGGCCTGTACCACTGGAGCCTTCGGTGGAGCTCCCCTATGGGGCCACGAAGCGCTGTCCTGGGTGGCGTTGACGCTTGCGGCCTGTGCCACTGGAGCCTTCGGTGGAGCCCCTATGGTACCACGGAACGCTGTCCTGGATGGCATTGACGCATGCGGACCCTGCCACTGGAGCCTTCGGTGGAGCTCTCTATCGGGCCACGGAACGCTGTCCTTGGTGGCGTTGACGCATGCGGCCTGTGCCACTGGAGCCTTCGGTGGAGGTCCCTATCGGGCCACGAAACGCTGTCCTGTGCGGCGTTGACGCATGCGGCCTGTGCCACTGGAGCCTTCGGTGGAGCTCCCTAGGGGGCCACGGAACGTTGTCTTGGGCGGCGTTGACGCATGCAGCCTGTGCCACTGGAGCCTTCGGTGGAGCTCCCTATGGGGCCACGGAACGCTGTCTTGGGTGGCGTTGACGCATGCGGCCTGTGCCACTGGAGCCTTCGAAACGCTGTCCTGGGTGGCGTTGACGCATGCGGCCTGTGCCACTGGAGCCTTCGGTGGAGCTCCCTGTGGGGCCACGAAACGCTGTCCTGTGTGGCGGTGACGCATGAGGCCTGTGCCACTGGAGACTCCCTATGGGGCCACGAAACATTGTCCTGGGTGGCGGTGACGCATGCGGCCTGTGCCACTGGACCCTTCGGTGGAGCTCCCTATGGGGCCACGGAACCTGTCCTGAGTGGCGGTGACGCATGCGGCCTGTGCCACTGGAGCCTTCGGTGGAGCTCCCTGTGGGGCCACGGGGCGCTGTTCCGGGTGGGTGAAACGCAGGGAGGGGACGAGGCGGATGGGAGGAGGGAGGAGGGGGAGGAGGAGGGGAAGGAGGCAGGAGGCGGGAAGGCGGGGCGCCGTCTCTTCAAAACGAGGACCCAACACCACAAGATGGTTGGGAAAAACGGCGACCGGAACCGGCAAAAAAACTGCTCCGGGATTGGGAGCAGAGCCAGAACCGATGAGGAGCCAAGGAAACAACAACGGGTCGGAACCGGCAACAAAGAAACGGCAAAACGGAAGCGATAGCAAAAAACGGCCCTGTCGCTTCCAGGGCCCATCAAGGCCCAGGCAGCCTCCGGCGCAGAGCTGGACCTCAGCGGTGCGTTTCGCTCTCGCGCGGCTTTCGTGCCCCCTTTTTGGGTCTACTCAGGACAATGCGTACTTCAGGAGCTGATTTCCCGACAGTCCCCACTCATCCGTTTTCTCATGATGTAGCCACGTCGTCCCGTTGAAATCGTAGTGCTTGTGGTATGAGACTGTCGGAGAAACCCGTGGGTGTCTGTGATCTGCGAGAGCGGCCCACGAAAGCACCCCAAAGCACTGCTCGGGTCGAGCCCTGCTCGGGTGCACCCCTCAGCGAGGCCCGGGGTGCACAGGAGGCTCCAGAACGGTGCGAAAAGCATCGGGGATACCTTTGAGCGTGGTAGCGCCAACGTGTGTTTGCCCACGGAGGCCCTTCACTACGACGAGAGCGATGTGATGATCGACTGGTGGGGTTGAACGGAGTAAAAACACACATTGGGCTAACACACGTCCTGAAGATCATCGAACCTTCAGGACCAGGGGGGGGCCGGAACGCATTGAACTTACAAGAGGCGCCATGAAGTCTGTGGAGGCATCATGGCCCTGGCCATGAGATCCACCCCCGCATATTCAGTCGGAACCCTACCCCCATCAACAATCGGTTCTCCTGAATCGATGAAGACGCGCAGGTAGGGTTCGGATTTCGATACGTGTTCGACGAATTCCAAACCCTGCCCCCGCCGCCCATGGAGTCGCCCGACTCGTTGATCGGAGAGGGTATGGTTCGGACTTCGCCGCCGAACCTCGGGCCAGGGACACGCGTGGCAAGCCCAAACAGAGGTGGTCCTAAGCCTGACGATTTCGGTAAGACAAATTGGGGATCTCTGATGTCAGACGGTTCTGGAGGATGTATCGGGCGCCGCGGTCATTCCAGAGCGGTCTGGAACCCTCTGAGAGAGTCCCTCCACACGCTGGAGCAAAGTATCCTTGTCCTGGCCACACCTGGGGTTGGCACACCCCGACAAAGGTTATTCATGGCGATCCAGCGATCCTCGGTTCCAGATCGGCCCAGTGGGCACAGGAGGCGCAGGTGGACAGCTGGAGCGCTCCGATTGGTTGGCCTCGACCCATTCTAATCTAAACTTCGGAGCACAAAATTGGCTCCTTCAAATGCTGTGGCGAGACAACAAAAAGAGCTGCCTGGCAAGAGGGAGGACCGAGACGACGAGGAGAGAACCGGAGCAGGTTGGAGGCAAGGGGGGAAGGGGGAGCAGGCTACTGCCTCCCACCCCTCCCTTCCCGTTGCCCTCATTTCTTCTCTACGTATATCCGCGGACGCGTGTCACAGCGGGCCTGGAGCTCCAACAACAAGCGGCCGCTACCGTGTTGTGCGCAATCGGACAAGGGGAGCTGCGCACAAAGAAGGAGGAGGAGGAGCTGGATGAGCAGCAGGATGAGCAGGAGAACAGGAGGAGCAGGAGGAGGAGGAAGAGAAGGAGGGAGGAGGACGAGGACGAACAACAGCAGCAGAAACTGGAGTCCAAGGAGCGGGGGGAGACGGAGCACCAAGGGAAGGCGGAGGGGAAAGGCGGGGGCAACAACGATGCGGAAGAACACGGATCCAGAAAGGAGGAGGAGGAAAGCATGAGCGGTCAGCGTCGAACGGATCAACAAGACCGGATCGGAAGTGGCATCGAGCTGGGCCGCATCTCCACGGGATCGGAGCCGAAGCAACTCGTCCGCGCGGGGATCCACACGACAGCGCCATGCACATGCACGCATCGGGCGGCCTCGGATCGTCGAACTATCGGGACCGAATCGGATCGGGCCAGCAGGAAGTCTCTCCATAGACGTACAAATATGTACGAAATGTATACTCAATCGGATCGCTCAGATAGAGGCGCGCCCTGGACGGACGAGGACGACGGCGAGAACTACAACGACGACACCGGCGACCGAGAAGGGCGAGGCATTCTCCTCGTCCTCCTTCCCCGCCTTCTGGGGAGGGTGAAGGAGGATGGAGGAGGGAGGAGGAGGAGGAGGAGGCAGAGGAGGAGGTCCTCCTTCTCTGCATCCTCCTCCACCCGTTCCCTCTTGGGGTAGGACGGCCTCCCTTGCCCGCTGTTCCACTGCACGGTCCTTCACATCCCCTGACCAGGACGGCTCGCCCGGACATCCTTTCCGATTGGGCCGGTGGGATCCCGCCGAGCACCCCAGAGTGCCACGACGACAGCGGCGGCCGGCGAGGAGAGGGGAGGACGAGGAGCGCCGTCGGTCCACCTGCGGCAGGTTCGTGTGGTGCCAACTGCGGCGCTGGTGCCCGACACCGCGGGGATCGCTCAGCAGCCTTGAACGGTCGGCCGCTTCTAAAACGTCAGATTGTTTGAAGGGGCCCTGGGACACACAAATAACTACACACAAATAAAAGGATTCCCCATGTTTTCCCATATTTTCTGGGTTTCTGTCTTCCCGCCCAACTCCCGTATTTTCCCATATTTTCTCGGGAATCGACGATTAATTGTGTCTGTGTTTTTTCCCTCCTGATTGTTGTTAGATCGTCGACGGAGAGGTCAAACGAGGAACGCTGGCGGCGGGGTCGCCGCTGGTCGACGCGACGCGAACCTGCCTGCGAGCCAGTTGCGGACCAAGCAGCACGGGAGGCCACCAAGTGGGGCTGGACCTGGATGACAGTACCGGCAATGTGCAAAGAGTTCAAAATAAGTGGCCCGCCTGGCCCGCCTAGAAACACGGGGCAGTAGGCGGGGCAGGGCGGACCCCACCCCCAGACCTGCGCCGAGTTCGATACAGCGATCGCGGTGCCAGCTCACGCCCGCACCCCGCTGGCGACGGAGGGTCCAACCAGCCATTGCTGGACGACGCCCGTCGCTTTCTCCTCTGGGCGCCGGCAGTAGCACCGTGCCGCATTGGCAGCGAGGCCAGGTCCGCTCTTCGGCACTCCTGACGCGCACACCGCCCCCCGCTCGACATTTCGCCACATCGTCTGCATGGAGAAGGATGCGCACCACTACCACCACCTGAGGGCGTGCAAGATACCCCGTGACCAAGAAGGTAGGCATGCACCACTACCGACCCCCCTGATCAGGCTCTGCTCTCCTCTCCCCATGGTGGTGCCGGCCCCCCTTCGACCGAAACCTGGTCCCCAGAGCGTCCTGACTATTTCGCCAGAAATACCAACCTCGCCACAGAGTCCGCCAGAGCCAAAAAGGTTTGGGAACACTTACGCAAACAAACGCACTTTCAGCGTCCCGGCCCTGCGCGCGGCGACAAAGCGTAGAAGGTCCAGAAATCCGCCGATCCGGCGTGTGAACTACAAGGAACCTCAGCAAGAGCTTCAGCTCTGAGCCTGAGCAAGAGCTTCAGCTCTGCTTGGGTGCGGTCGCCGGGGTGGCTCTGCTGGGGAAGGAGGGGAGGAGGGGGCGGTCATCCATCGATCTGGCGTTTGGTTAGCGCATCCGGACCCCCCCCGGGGAAGGGGGGGAGGGGGGGGGCGGTCCCCCATGTGGCGTTCTCTGAATGTTTTGCGCGTCCCCAAGATGATGTTTCGGGGGGTCCCAGGGAACCCCCTAAAATCTAGCCGCTACTGCCCCCAGGACCCTCCCCTCGGAACCCTCCCCGGACCCCCCCTGGGACCGCTCCACGCACCCCCCCAGAGGAGAAGAAAGAGGACCGGAAGAATCGAGGAGGGAGGAGGCGACAGAGCCGCGAAGATCACCGAATCCTGAGCCCATCGGATCGATGGCACTGGCCGGAGGCCATTACAATGGCGAAGCGCGCGCGTCGAAGCCCGCCCGAGTACTCAGAGACCACTTAAGGCCTCGCAGCAGCCAACAGCCATAACCATCCGGGCACGGACGGCGGGGAGGGGCGGGGAGCACACGAAATTACGCGGAGGTGGAGGGTGCCATAAGCCAACCAGGACCGGAAGGCACACATACACACACACACACACACACACACACTCACACACATGAGGTCCCCTCTCCTCCATAGCATCTCTACAATTACTCAATATGAATACTACTCTCCCTCTTCCCCTGATGACGGCTTGAAAGTGTTAGCCCCCCCCCCGCGTACTGTTTTTTTTACACACAGGATTCCCCGGAGTTGGGTTTTCGCTTGCATTGTTTTCCAAAATGCTGCTCTCGCTGAGGGGTCGGCCTCATTTTCGGGCCCCGCTCGTTCCGAATCGTGCTCCCGCTGCAGCGCTGGCCCCATTTCCGTGCTTCCGCTCGTTCCGAATCGTGCTCCCGCTGCAGCGCTGGCCTCATTTCCGCGCTTCCGCTCGTTCCGACTCGCGCTCCCGCTGCAGCGCTGGCGTCATTTCCCGTGCCATGTCACGCAATGCATTGCAATGCTAGGTTGATACTACGCTTTGCGGCGCTCTTCTACGCCATGCCATGCCGTGCTCTACAATGCATCGCGTATCCTTTCGGGATCATTGCCCTGCTCGACATCCGACTGTGCGAATAGAGAGGGGATCTACGCCATGGTAAGGGATGGGAGGGAGGGGTAGGATGTCAGATATGACGCGAGCGCATCTAGCTTGTCCTCACCCCTCCCCCTCTTCCTTCCCCGCTGTTCCTTCCCATCCCTCCCCCATCCTGCCAGTCCCCACCCTTCCCGAGGGCCCCGCTCTCTGCTGCTCGATCCCGTGGACCGAGTGCGCACGCACCGCACGGCAAAACCGCTCTTCTGCCACGGCATTCACTGCCGGCGCCGAGCAGACCAACTGGGCGCTGGAGGTAGAAAAAAGAAAAAACGCCACAAACATAAACCTTTTGCGCTCCGCGCGGGTTTCTTGGATCCGCGCTGGACCCCCCTCCCCAGCGCGCGTAGCGCGCCAAGGGCGGCGCAGGAGGCGCCGCCGGGGGGCCCAGCGCGGATCAAAGAAATCCGCGCGGAGTGCCAAAAGTTTATGTGTATGGCGTTGTTTTTCTTCTTCGAGGAGGTGCAGGATGCCCCCGCCACTTGCCAGTGCAAGCGTGCGCGGGAGGCCATCCGGCGCCGCGCAAAAGTCCCCTGGGCCCAGGGCATCCCCGAGGAACAGTGCATCCTCGGCCGGCGGCGCGTCCGCTGTGACAAGTCGAAACGTGGTAATTGACCACTCGCAGCATCGCTCCGCGTCCTCCTTCCCTCCGCCTGGTCACCTCGCCTCTCTTGCAGCACCCCTCCTCATGCATCCCCGAAGAATGAGGAGGGATGCTGCCTCTCCTTGCTGCATCATTCCTCCTCCTTCCTCCCTCCTCCTCCCTCTCGTTTCCTCAACCGTCCCCGTCTCTTCCCTCTCCCTTCTCGAGACCTCATCGACACCCCGGCTCCTGACTCATAACTGCGCCCTCCTCACTCCTCCCTCTTCCTCCTCCCTCCTCCGTTCTCCCTCTTCCCTCGAACGTCCCCGTCCACCCCCATCCCCTCTCCATACCCTCGTCTACACCCCGGCGCCTCACTCATCACTGCGCCCTCATCAATATCTGGCTCACCCTCGTCATGCGAATCTTCATCCTTCTCATTCTCCTGTCCCCTACACACGTGTCGGTAGGGCGGGCCAGACGTTCCGCCGGAGACCCCATGAGCCCAGCAAACTTGGGATTCGAAACAGCAACGCGGATGGAGTGGGTCGTGTTCAATCAGACTGCAGCAGTTACATTGATGGCGAGGCAAAAGCAGTTTTCGAAATGAAGCTCTTGCCATAGCGCCGCGCGCCATCGCCCTAAAAGCTTGGAACAACCATACATGCGGTCCCTTTCAAAAACAAAGCTCCCGCCTCAGCGCCGCGCACACACTCCTTTCAAAAGACTGCAGCAGTTGCAAGGATGAAGCACACGCCGTGTCAAAATGAAAAAAGCTCGCCTTAACGCCGCGCGCAGTCGCCTGAACAGTGTGCAAGCACGACGGGGAGGGAGGGCGGCTCCTTTTCCAGATCTGCTCTTGCCCGGGCGCGGCGCGCAGTCGTTTTCAACGGTTGCGCCAGCTGCAAGGATGGTTCCTGTTTTACAACGGGGCTCTCGCTCGAGATGTCCCCGAAGTGCACGAACCGCAGCGTAAGTTGCGAAACAATGTCAATGGCGGTGGACTGCCATCTTTCAGCACGGGTGCCTCGCTGGACACACCACTGAACAGTAAGATCATACCTGCTCGCATCCTTGGCGGCGCGCTGGACAGTTGCACGGCAGTGCCTTTTCAAAGCGGGGCTCTCGCCTGAGTGTTCAAGGGAGCACTCGCTCTAAGAACGTATAGCTTCTAAGAACGTATAAGGGCGGGGGCGTGGGACGCGAGGGTGCGATGCAGCATCACTGATGCAGCGTGGGGTGTCTCTGGTCCTCCTCCTGCTCCTTTTCCTTAGTATTCCTCGTCCCGCGGCTCTGCACCTCCTCACCCCCCCTCTTCACGCCGTGAAGTACTGCATGCTCACGTCCACTCCCCATCGCCTTCGCCGTCCTGCTCAGAAAGTGCCCCTCCGTCCTCGTCATCAGCATGACACTGCTTCGCCTCCTCTCGCATTCCACCCAGGTGCGCAAGGCGGTGATGTGGCCCATAATGTCGTCCATGTTGAGAAAGTAAAACTACACCCAGCCCTCATGAAGACTGCATCTCAGAGTACAAGTGACCTACCGTGAAAACGTATAGTAAGGACGGGTGGTAAGGACGGAGGCCGAAGTTGGGAGTTAATGGGCGGTGGGCGACCAAAACCCGAAGGGTACCCTGAGAGGCTGGCCGGTGGAAACGGCAAAGGACAGGCCGGAGGCAAAGACACAAGGCTACCCTCGAAAAGGCGCGCGTCCTTACAATGCGCGTTGACTGTGCCAGACGTGGACAGGTCGAGGTGGCAAGTTAGTATTTCAGAATTACGCGCCAAAGTAGCCGCATATCGTAGCCAGCCTCGTCGCCATCAGTGAGAGGACATGCGTGTCGGTGGCCGTGATCATATTCAGAAGACGTGCCTTAGGTCGGACGTGTCCCCCTAAAGGCGGATTTTGGACGAAAATGTCAAAATTCCCCAAAATATTCAAAGCATTCAAGAATTATCAAAAAATCGTCCTCCAGGTATAAAAGTCAGGCTGCATAAAAACGAGAGCTGCTGGAACTCCGCGCGGACTGCCAGGATCGGTGACCGCCGTCCTTCTTCGCCGCCCGATCCGCGGGACAGCTTCCAGGCTGAGGTCGGGCGTGGCCCCCTACACGCGGATTTCGGACGAAAAACGCAAAAAAAGCTCAGAGCTATTCAAAACACACACCACACAAAAAACATGTTATTGTTGTTGCTGTGTTTGAATATTCCTCCTGTAGAAGGACGGGCCCGTCTTAATTCCAGGCCAGAAAGACAACTTGTATTCCAGAATTGGCAACTGTCCCTCGCCGTCCGATCCGCGTGAGAACTTCCAGGCCAGAGAAACAACATGTACTCCCGACAGAGAAACTGGCGCGCTCCGCGCTCCAGGGAGAGGAGCTGTAAGCGCCGGTCCAAGGCATCCATGCAAGCGTCCGTAAGTGCCAATGTATTCCGTTTCTGGTCTCTCTGCTCCTGAGCAGAAGGTCAGGCATGGTGAAAAATGGGCGCGCATGTGGGGGGACGACAGGGGGAAACTGGCTCAGGGGGGGGGGGGGGGGGAATCGATCTGGAATAGGAATAGGCGATGCATCGTCGACTGATTGAATGACCAGGCCCCAGAGGAGGAGGAGGAGGAGGAGGAGGAGGAGGAGGAGGAGCAGGAGGAGCAAGAGGAGAATGAGGAGGAGGAGGAGGAAGAGGAGGAGCAAGAGGAGGAGGAGGAGGAGGAGGAGGAGGAGGAGAGGAAGAGGAGGAGGAGGAGGAAGAGGAGCAGGAGGAGCAAGAGGAGAAGGAGGAGCGGGGCTCGATGCGTCCCTCCCTGAGCGGATCCCGTCCCCAGTGGTTGTCGTGCCACAGCTCGGGGCCTCCGGCGCCTTTGTCCAAGGCCGGGCTAACGGCGATTTTGCTTAACGGTGATGTTGGGAACCACAGTGAAGGAAATCACGAACCACACTTTTCTACACTTCCAGTCTGCCAATGGACCGAGCGAGCACGACACGGCGAATTGTAGGAAAGCGCGAGCCACGCGTTTCCACAATACCGAAACCTACATCGCTGCTACCTACATCGCCGTTAGCCCGTCTACGGCTTGTGGACCTTAGGACGCTTTGCGAAATGGTCAGTCATCAAGAACTTCTGCGCGCTGCCAGGGGCACCGATTTTCCGTCGGCCCCTTTAAGATCCCCCTGTTCCTTGTGCAGGGGGCCCCGCAGGGCCGCGTCCTCATACCAGAAGTCGGTTTCGGAGATGATCATCGCGGATGGGTCAAGTACTGCTGGATGTGGCGCGCGACAGGACTGGCCAAACTGGTGGCGATCGCGACCCTCGGGAGCATGGGGGTGAAGTGCAAACTGGCTCGGATCAAGAACCTCATTGATGACATCCGCCTTCATGTCATAGGAAGCCCTGCCCAGGTCAAAGCTCAATCGGCAGCAGGTCTAAAGGAGCTCATCCAGGGTATGCAGGACAGGAAGTTGCCGACCTCCTGGGGCAAGTGTGGAGTGCTTTGCAGCGATGATGAGGTTCTTCGAGAGGTCCGCAATGCGGTTCAGCATCTATGGCCAGAAGACGTAGCCTTCCCTGCGCTTGCAGCTGATCACAGAGACCCGGGAGGTGCTGCTGTTGAGAGCAGGATGCGGGTCATCGCAACACAGGTTTCCAGGATCCCACGTGCTCTCAAGAGGTTCCAGGGTCAGGGCGCTCCAGGGGCTCGGGCGTCAATGCCGGCGATGCATCGGCCGGGCGTCCTGGCAGAGTCCCCACGGGGCCCCCAGCACCCACGGGGCTGCTGGCTCCGGGATCCAGACCTGGAGGATGCCGCACTCCGAGCGCAGGCCAAAGCGCAGGCCGGGAGCCCCTGCGGGCCTCTCGCTGCTCACCGCAGGGGTGGCGGCTGGCAGCAGGACCCCTCGGTGACTGCGGAGGTGGGCGCGGTCCGCACCTTTGCCGCGGCCAATCACTCGCAGTCCGTCAGATGGACGGCCATGGAGGAGGAGGAGGAGGAGGAGGAGGAGGAGGAGGAGGAGGAGGAGGAGGAGGAGGAGGAGGAGGAGGAGGAGGAGAGGAGGAGGAGGAGGAGGAGAGGGAGGAGGAGGAGGTGGGGGAGGAGGAGGAGGAGGTGGAGGTGGAGGAGCAGGAAAAGGAGGTGGAGGAGGAGGAGAAGGAAGAGGAGGACGAGGAAGAGGGGGAGAAGGAGGAGGAGGAGGAAGAAGAATTGGCAGTCCGTCAGATGGACGGCCGTGGGAGAATTCCTGGAAGAGGCGCGACCTGTGCTGCTCGACCCGCAGCACTGGTCCGAGGGCAAAAGCCCGATCTGGGCGCTCCTCCTCTCGCCCCACGGGATGGGCTGGTCGCGGTCGGACATCTGCAGAGGGCGGAAAATCCACGCCCGAAATAATCACCCCGACACGCGAAGCCGTTTAGTAAACGCAGCCAAGGAAGGAATCCAACAGGGCAGGGCTTCCGGTGGTCGCCCAGGGCCGTTTGGTAAGCGCCAGTTGCCCAGTCCTGGAGGATTTCCCTCCCTCGAATTTACGCGATCACGGACCATGATGGGCTGCTCTGGGACTTTCGGGACGCACCGCCACCTTTTCGCGGCAAGCTGGCCAGGCACGGGGTCCGGAGGCATATCGACGGGGAGGCCCTCGGCACGATCTCTGCAGGCGGCCGCAGCATTCCTCGAGGGCCCAAATCCTGGATTGCTATCATCGAGGTGTTGCATTCCAAGCGCAGCAAGCTTTTGCCGTGAGCCTCTGCTCGGGAGCTCACTGGTGGCAACACAGGGTCTCGAAGGCCTTCTCTGGGGGGGGGGGGGGGCGAGGTCTGCCTCTGCTGTCAGGCGTCCCCAGGGAAGTTCTACCATTGTTTCTTTGAGTGCGAAGCCTTCTACCATTAGGTCGGGCATGTCCTCCTACAGGCGGATTTGGACGACAAAATGAAAAAAGTCCAAAAATATTCAAAAAATACTGGCGCATGATATTAACATAAGAATCGGCCCCCGACAAGTTTTTACTATTTTTAAATATTCCTCCTGCAGAGGGACATGCCTGACTCAATACTGTTTTAAGCAGGAGTGGCCCCCGACGGAGCTCGGGAACCCCGCGAGGAGGATGAAGCAAGCACCCGGGGCCCTCCGGTCGTCGTTTTGCCGTGGCTCTACCTGGTCCTTCTCAAGCATCTGCGTATCCAAACGCACCCAGCACTCAAATGTTCATGATATGAGCAGATCTCAAGACTGCTGGATGGTCTGTGGTGGTCGACGTACGACCGCGAGAGGAAGGCTGGTGGCAAGATACTTCGGCGCAGTTCTCCATGAGGCGTGCCCACAGCATACTACAAAGTGCGGGGAGGACTATGCGATGCTGATCGTGAGTCGTCAAGTTCCTGGTTCGTACACAGTGCTCTCAAACTGCAAGGGCACGATATAGCACTGCAGATCTCCACCTGAGGCCGTAGGGGCAGCGAACCCCTGGACCAACATCTGGAAGAACAGTGCTTACAATGAGGAGTTGCACGAGCAGCAGCTCAAACATGTCAAGGGACATGCCACAGAAAATGATGTGATTGAAGGTGTGCTGTCGGCCTTCGAGAAGACTGGAAACTCCGCAGCTGGTGCCCTGTTGAAGCGTGGAGCGGCCTTCAACATGCCCGAAGATGATCACGTGGATTTCGTGCGTGGCTGCAGGAGATCGCACAAGTTACTGCTGCAAGACATCGGGAGTTTCCAAGCGTGGTTGTGTGATTCGATCGCAGACGGACTCGACAACCATTTTCCTGTGACAGAGAATCAGGAGGAGACACCAGGCCCAGTTGACGAGGTTGCTCTTGAGAACGAGCTGGACGGGCTCCTGGAGCAGTGGAAGGTGGCCAACCCCAGTCTGGTAGAATACCGTATGGTGGAGTGACCGCATCATGCTTTCCCGTGCGCATCATGCTGCCAGTACTTTTGCTCTGACTCTCGCAACCACCGCGGCCTGGCCCAAACGTGCAGAGGCAGGCATGGCGCAGGCCGAGAGGTCGAGAACGCGCGACGATTCGAGAATCGGAGGCATCCACAGTGTGCCAAGCAAGATGTCAAGTTGGAGTCTCCTCGATCGCCGTCGGGTCCTGCCCGCCACATCGCACGTGCAGCGAAGAAATGGGAGCAGGAGTTCAAGACGCATCAGTCTCAGGTACCACTCAAGAAGCAAAGGCTTCTGGACACCGCAAGGCTTCTGCTGGCATATGAGCTCGAGTACTCCGAGGCCCTAGAGCTGGGCCGCGTCGCTGACGATGATGATGACTCTCAAGAACCAGAATGAACGACGCGGTGGTGCGAGGATTGATCCTTGTCGGCGTCGGTTTGTGCGTTTGTTCGGTGTTGCCTGGTCGCGGGGTTTGACCTACATGGGCATCGCCAGCTCGTTCATCTGTCAGAGCCTGCTTTACGCAGGTTCCGTCGCGGCAGGGCTGGTCCTTCCGAGCCTCTCTGAATTGCAGCCCTGCTGACCCCCCAGCGCTCTATTTGTTGGGCCCACCCAGCCTTGTTTTGCCGTGCGCGGTCGATTCGCTGGCTTTGTGTGCTAGGGTGGCGCTGTCTTCTAGCTGGACCACCTGTGGGTCGGTTTCCAAAACGTGGCGCTGGGAGCCCTGTGGGAGATCCTCCGCGGGACGGCGGACCTCGTGCTAGTGAGCACGGACCTGCCGCAGGCCGCGTACCCCCTGGCCCCGCCGCAGGGCCGCCCTTCGGAGGTACACAGATACCTCGTCATTCCCTCCGGCGCAAGGAGAGGCCGTCCTGGCCTTCGGGTTCCGTCGTGCTGGGGCTGGGGGGTGGGCCTGAGATGCTCGTGCGCCTCCCGCCCCCCCCCTCTGGATCCAGCTGCCTCTCGGCTTCAACTCGCTCGCTCGCTCCTGCCTCCCACTCCTCCTGCTCGTCCTCCTGTTCCTCCTCATCTTCCTCCTCCTCCTCCTCCTCTGGTTCCTCTTCCTCCTCCTCCTCCTCCTCCTCCTCCTCCTCCTCCTCCTCCTCCTCCTCCTCCTCCTGCTCATTATCCTTTTCCTCCTCCTTTTCCTCCTCCTCCTCCTCCTCCTCCTCCTCCTCCTCCTCCTCCTCCTCCTCCTCCTCCTCCTCCCCCTCCCCCTTCCCCCTCCCCCTCCTCCTGACTGGGCACCTGGGCTGCGGGGCGGGACTGCCAGATCACCACTTCCCCCGGGACGGCTGCAGGTGCATCCAGACGGAGCAGACCTGGAGGGGAGGGGGGAGGGACGACGGGGTTCATAATGACGTACTAATACCTAGTACCATGCACTGATCTTAGAGGCGCACATCCGAACTGAACATGTACAGTCGGACTTGATTGGAGAGGACGCAAGACCTTTCCGAGGGCCACGCTGCCGTTTGGAATGCAAAGGCACGGGTCTTTCAAGACAGGACATCGAGGTATCCTGCACTTGGCAGGGTCGACCTACTAATCAAAGCCGACTTTCGTGCAAACGCATTGTAGCGCATCGTTTCCCGAACGGGATGGCCAGAAAGCGCCCGCCAAGGAGCTTCTGCTATCAGATTCTCGGCGCGCACGTCGCCCCTGGAGGAGCACGAGAGGGGCCACGGCGAAGAGAACGATCCATCGGGCACGGACTCGGGATAGATCGCTCCAGGGCGGTCCGGCACGAGCGCTCTGCGAAGGCCGTGGCGCCTGGTACATCCCTCAAAGCCGCCAACTCCCGACTTATCCCGATCCGGCTTGTGAGCGAGTTCTTATTCGGCGTTTCGACATTAAGCGGCAGGGGGGGGGGTCTGGCTCCAGACCTCTGTTTCGTGCGACTGTTTGCAAGAGTGCTGCCTCTGGGGGGACTCCCCCTGCTCGAAGCAGGCGCCCCAAACAGCCAAGACTTGCTCCAGGGGGGGGGGGAGAGGGGCGCGAGGGCCCGCGCCGATCGGCCAAACAAGGATCAAGAAAACGATCACCTCCAAGAGACTCCCGACGCATCCCGATCCGGCGTTCGCGCCTCCGCTTCGGGAAAGGAGGGCGGCGGCCGCGTGCTTCTGCCGCCAGCCAGCACTCCGGGCGGCCAGGGCGCCCCGCGGGCTCCTCGTCCTCCGCCCGCCGCAGCGAGGAGGGCGGGCCGTGTCTCGCGGGAGGGCGCGGCGACCTCACGCGGCGGCGCTGCGCGTGCGAAGCAAGCGGCACACCGCGCGGCGACCTGACGCGGGCAACCTGTGCGAGGCGGGGGGTCATCCAGAACAGCCGCCTGGGAGGTCGACCTGCGCGGACCTCGGCAGACGGCGGATACAACTGACATCCGCCAGCATGCCAGCACGATGTGGGCGTGTTGGAACTTGGGCCAGCACGGGAACGGAGCGCCCCCAGGAACTTGCCCCAGATGGCTGACGACACCATTCGCTCTTGGGAGCCTTGGCGTTCACAGCTCTTTTTGTCATCCTTCGTATTGGGAGCCTTGGCGAGAAAAGCTTTCCACGTCATCGTTCGTACTGGAAGCCTTGGCGTTCGGAGCTTCTCGCGTCATCGGGAGCTCTTGGGAGACTTGGAGTTCAAAGCCTTTTATGCCACCGACTAGCCTAAACATGAGCTTTCCGCACTTGGAAGTCCTGGGAGCCGTCGCGTCGAAATTGTGTCCGTCACTGCACTGGGCCGTCTGCGACCGTTCTGCAATGACTCCTCCCATCAGGAGCCGTCCTGGACACAAGCTTCAGAGACTCCTCCCGCAAATCACCTTACGGAAATCTATGGCACGGGCCTCTCGGAGCGCCCTGGGGGTCCTGGTGGAGGGACCTCTTGGGCCGTCCCTGGGCCATCTCAGGCCGTCTTGCGGGGCGTTGGCCGTCGTGGGGCCCCTCGTGGGGCCATCTTGGGGCCCTCTTGGGCTGCGGCGCTCTCTCGAGAATCTCGTGGGAGCCTGTTGGGGCTCTGTTGGGCCGTCATGGCCGTCTTGGGACCCTCTCGGGGGGGGGGGGGCTCGTGGGCCGTCTTAGAGCCACCTTGGGGGGGCCTCTTGGGCCGTCGGAAGCCCGAAAATGCCCGAAGCGCTCAAATACCTAAAGGACAGCAATGTGCCGTTGGCCTCCTCAGGCCTTCTTGGGGGTCCTCTTGAGGGCCTCTTGGGCCGTCTTGGGGCCACCTTAGGCCATCTTGGAACGCTCTTGGGCGGTCTTGTGCTCTCTTGGAACAATCTCAAGACGTCTTGAAGCCCTCTAAGACCTCGCTTCGGCCGCTGAAGGGAGTATCTCAAGCCGTCTTGGGCGCCTCTGGGGACGTTTCGGGGGCTTTTTGGACCGTGTTGAACAGCGGCGACCGTGTTAGACTATCCCCGGCGCGCTTCACCCCTCCCCTGGAGCCCCTCCCTAGAAAGGCGTCGCCACACCAGAACGTCATTACTCGTACCTCGCTCTGTCCGTCATGCCATGTGCTACTCTGTATGTCTTTCTGTATGCTAATCATGCCCCTCCCCTCTACCAGCAAAATGCCGTATACTTCCTGGCCCTCCTTCCCCCTCTTCTCCTCTCGCCCGTGACTCCGTCTGGAAGGTAGCCAGCTCTCTCCGCAAGTTCTTGTTGCAATTCGCAGAATCGGATTGCATTCGGTGCTTCAAAGAGGTGCTCCCGCGGAAGCGTGGGGCTCATTTCGGATCGTCGCTGCTTTGCTTCCGTCGTTCGGCATGGTGCTCTCGCCTGAACGTGGGCTACATTTCTGGATCCGAGTCCTCTTTTTCATCGTTGTCGCCCCCCTCACTTTCCCTCCGCCGCCTTCCGCTGGCCCTCCTGCTCCTCCCACCCGTTCCACTCCAGTTCCTGCTGCTGCTGCTGTTGGTCCTCGTCCTCCTGCTCCTCCTGCTCCGGCTCCGGCTCCTGCTCCTGCTCCTGCTCCTGCTCCTCCTCCTCCTCCTCCTCCTCCTCCTCCACCGCCCCCCTCTCTTCCTCCTGTGTACGCGGTTCCCCTTTTGCGATTGCGCATAACGCGATGGACTCTTTTCGTTGCAGTCCCAGGTCGGTTTTAACACGCGTCCGCGAAGAGAGAAAACAAGAACAATGCAATGGGACGGGATGGGAGAGAGAGACACGATTGCAGGTGTGGCGCGAGCGCACCTAGCTTGCCCCTCCCTCCTCCTCCTCCTCCCCTCCTCACGCCCGCCGCCCCTCCCCCCTCCCGTTTCCCCCTTTCGACGGCGCAAAAAAAGCCCCACGACAGCCTGTGAAGACCCCAGAAAGTCCCGCCTCACAGGAGGCCAAGACAGCCACAAGACGGCCCAAAAGACTTCCATGAAAATTCATCAAATAGTGAAGGCGTACTTTGTCACATGCGACGGCATTCCTCGTGTTCCTGCTTTGCCCCATCCCCTTCTCGTCCTGTTTCTATTCATGTTCCTGTTCCATCTCCTCTACCGCACGCCATCATCATCACCACCACCATCGCCGAAATAGGCATTACAATCAGCACTGCCATCAGCATCATCATCATCATCAGCAGCAGCACCACCACCATCAGCTCTGTCATCAGCATCATCATCATCATCATCGTCATCAGTATCCTCATCATCATCATCATCATCATCATCATCATCATCAGCAGCAGCAGCATCATCATCATCATCATCATCATCATCATCATCATCATCATCATCATCATCATCATCATCATCATCATCATCATCATCATCATCATCATCATCAACAACTTTAGCATCATCATCATCACCATTGTCCTCGTCATCCTCATCACCACAATTTCACCATATCGCCGTCACTATCGTCACCGTCGTCATCACAACCATCCTCAAATTCATCATTAACCGAATCACCCTCATCATCACCACCATCAACAACAACATCATCAACCTCACCATCGTCATAATCCTCATCATCGCCTTCATCATCATCAACATCGCCGCCGTTACCAGCCTCATCATGACCGTCATCTTCCGCATCATCATCATCAACACCACCATCCCCATCGGCAACTCCAGCACCAACATCACCCCCTCTATCATCTTCATAATCCTCGTCATCCCCATCGCGTCTCTTCCAAACCTAAAAGACACGAGGTGCCACAGGTAACGGCCGCCCATGCACCCATCAAACACTTGCCATACAATGTGCGCGAATAGTACATACCAGCTGGGACAAACAGTTCAGGCACTGGGCACAACCAATGCCAGACCGTCTCAAAAGACGGGCGCCAAGAAAGAGGACATGATCAGGCGCGATCGGACAGTACCAAAAACTCGCCACCCGTGAGAGTCGGGTAGCCACAAAAAGGCGGCGGATGTAGGGACGGGCAGTGGTGCGCTCGAACACGTCAGGACTTCATGCACGGGTGAAGAAGGGCAACAAGAGACGAGCCGATGCGCGCAATCACAACCTAGTCGCACCCCAACTGTGCGCCTTAGGGGCGGCGACCGCTGAATACACGAGGGCGATGGGGTCAGAACTCAACCCGCGGCGCTCCAGACAAACTTTGCGACCACCCCCAGAGGGCAAAGCGGCGGCAACATCCCGCCGATGTGCTCGTCCGAGACGGAAGGCGGGCGGCGCGGGCCGCGGAAAGAAAGATCCTCTCTGGCGAGAGAACGCCGACAAAGGGAGACCACCTCGGAAATCAACGCGTCCGAGCCTTTGCGAGCAAACGCGCCCCCAAGCGAATGGGAGCCCCTGAACTTGTGGATGCCATGGAAATGGACACCCTAAGAATCCTAGTTTTGAATGTTACCTGTGTCTAAAATGTTTGCATCATGCCCTTAAAATGTTTAGAACATGCGCTGTACTTGTTTAAGACATGGTTTCAACTAGTCCTGGACATCTGGACAGTATTTGGCAACACGCTTCCTCTCCATTGATCGTCGTCCACAACCTTGACCAAGAGGCCGCGGCGAACGGCAACTCAGCCACCATCAGGCAGCAGCGGCAGAGACACGGCGGGGCAGCAGCAGGAGAGAAACACGCTGGAGGGGACGCACAGCAACAGCAAAAGGCGACGACAGCAGAGGCGCACCCTTTTTTTACTCGGCGTTTCGACACTGGGCGGAAGGAGGGGGAGGGGGGGGTTCTGGCTCGAGACTTCTGCTTAGTGCGACTGCTTGCAGCAGTGCGTCCTATGGGGGAGGCTCCACCCGCCTGAAACAGGCGCCAGAATCAGACAAGATCTACTCCATAGGAGGGGGGGGAGGGGGGGGGGGCGAGGGCCCGCGCCGATCGGCAAACCAATGAATAAGAAAACGAACACGAGGCAG